TCGATAAAAGAAAGAAATGAGAAAAACAATGCAAATATTTATGGTTTAGTCCCTCAAACAGACCTGCATTCACAACACAAAAATGAATAATTCTTGCTATTTTTGAATAAAGGATTGTAAGCCCTTCCTAATATTTGTCACTGGAAAAATCATGAAACCTTCTCGACATATAATTTTGAGCAAAAATATTGCAAAACATTTATCCAAGGCCACCATAAATCGCAGTTATCCAAGATCACAATTACACAAGTATAATTCTATGCTTGTTGAGGATCCCAAATCAGTTTACCAGAACTTCCCTTTAATTTGATTGCACTTTGTTAATAATCTCATGGCTCTTCCAGCTTGGTAGAAATAACAATGAATAAGGAGTCTGTTAATAGAAAAGTCTGGCAATTCCTCTCAAACTCTCAATCCATGAATAGAAGAATTAAGTTCAAACAAATATTCTCCCCATCAGTTGTCCTAAACATCAACTCAAAACTTTATTATCAGACCTCTACATACCTGTTATTCCAATCTATATCATAGGAAAATTCTTCCAACAATTACCTCCCTTCCTGCAAAACTCTGAAGTTCACTGTATCCTTCTTAACTTATACATATTCATGAAGAAAGCGAGGGATTTTCCTGCTTTATGCCACTCTCTTACTTTCTTGATCCACACTGTTGTTACATCTTCCCTTTGCACACTATTTTAGGGACAACAATCTTGGATGCCATCAAGGAAGCTGTGGGAGATGAAACAGAAATTATTTATGAGCAGAATCCATCAAAAGAAACCCTAGAACGCAATGACATATCTTTTGCCATTGTAGCTGCTGGTGAAGCTCCCTATGCTGAGTCACGGGGTGACAATTCTGAGCTTGTGATCCCCTCTAATGGGATTGACACTATCATTTCAGTTGCAGACAAAGTCCCAACACTGGTTATTTTGATATCTGGAAGACCCTTAGTGTTAGAGCCATGGCTGTTAGAAAAGATTGATGCTCTCGTTGCTGCTTGGTTACCTGGTACTGAGGCTCAGGGAATCACAGACGTTATCTTTGGGGACTATGACTTCAAAGGACAGCTTCCTATGACTTGGTTTAGAAGAGTTGAGGATCTTGATGAACCAGCTAATGGGGTTAAACCACATGATCCCTTGTTTCCTCTTGTGTTTGGGTTGACCTATACTAAGGACTAAAACCACACTTTGGTCAGATAAGATCTTTCGCATTTATGTGTTGGAAAAAGGACTGATACAAAGAAATGAAGCGTATGGGTCTAGTTCCCCTCTTTAGACTCATTCTTGTTTGATGTTTCTTTCTATCTCTTGGCTTATTCTAGCCATATTAGAAAGTTATACTACACTTTTTTGTGATGATCTTGTTGCTTCAACCATCTTTTGGTATTGATTCTGACAATATTAGTAATGATTTCCTTTATTGCGTATTGCTTTTCATGTTTTTCCCCCTTACAAAGTTAAAATTCACATTATATAATTATCAATCCAGATATATATACTGAATAAACTAATGTCTTGTGTGTTCAGGTAATCAATTCTTGATTTCCTTCTTCAAGTAATTGAAGCCCTTTCTATTATATATTATCATTCTCAGGAAATATGTTCAAGCAAAAGGCTATTTTAATTAACCTTGTTATGTTCTCAGATACAGTTGAGGTACGGTTCACAATTGTCATAATTTACTCAAATATCGCAATTGTTTATAAAGTATAAGATTCTGGACTTTGTTCTGAACATTCCAATGACACACACACACACACACACACACACTATGCATTACAAACTTACTATTAAATAAAGCCCTTTTTCTCTTTGGAGGGAATAGAGGGGTTTCTTCTTTTTTTCTTTTCTTTTTCCTTTGAGTAGCATTCACTGAACCTATGTTTTTTTTTTTTTTTGGGATTGACAAGAGGATGAAAATGGTGTGGTTAATTGTAAAAACATAGAGTTAAGGTATAAATTTGTTCTGAAAGTTTTCACTTAGAAGTTTTGGGTATCCGAAAGTTTTTCTGAGAGCAAATTTGCCTTGAAAGTTTAAAATCATAAAATATTGCCCCCTTTCGGATACCCAAAGCTCCTGAGTGAAAACTTCCGAGGCAAATTTGCACCTTAATCCAAAACCATATGGAAATATGTATTCTGTAGGTTGCGAGCTGTCATGTTACTGTTACATTTCTTATTGCAAATATTTTGATTTTGAGTTTGATTTGAGTGGGAAGGTTTAGAGGAAAGAGTCAATGATGGAGAAGACTCGAGTGTGGTGATTGGTGAGGTTGATGATCGATCAATAGCATCTAGATTTTCCTATGGAGAAGAATCGGGTGAACAGGCATTGAGATACCTTGAATGGAAAACTTTGTTAGCGGTCAAAAATTTAGAGAGGAATTCAAACTTGGATCATGGCGCCACTGCAAGTTCCTTCTTAACTGTTCAAGTTGATGATTATATGAATAGAGCTGAGTATGATGTATTTTTATTGCAATTCCTAGAAAATGATAGTAGTGACTTAGAGGGTAGTCCTCCTAGGGCTAAATGTGTTGCAGAGAATTTTCCTTTAGTAGAGTTGACCGAGGAGCACTTGGTGGGAGAGAATGTATCTTGTGCTGTTCGCAAAGATGGAATCATATGGATCACTTGCATATTATAAATTCCTATAAATAATTAATACATCATTTAGATTTATGAGTTAAACTATTACATTCATAGTTCTACCGATATTTTGTCACATTTTATTGTAGAAATGAGAAGTTAAAGTTGATTCTTTTTATTTCAAACCAATTAATAAGATTTTAAAAAAGATGTAAGAATTGGTAGTAGTATAATTATATGATTTTGATGCGTGCTGGTGATTTTTTGTTTTGCATATACTGGAAAAAGAAATAAACGAGACGGCTATCCTATACTTCCGGAGCCAGTGATTTAATTATACATTGTATGTGGCTGTGGAATAATAATAGATCTATAAATGTAAATATATACTTCTATTTACATTATTGTGATGGTTATTGGAATGAAATGGAATTTTTGATTACATAGAAGTAAAATCACTCGCGCGTCATAGCTATTTTCTAAGAATTTTTTATTTTGCACAATTTTATGATGCAGTTATGTGGTATAAGGAAAAGTTGGGAAAATCAACCAACAAACTGATAGTTGAGATAGTAAGCGGTCTCATCCCGTAAAGAGGAGAATACAGGTTCAAATCGTGAGAAACGTATTTATTGAGAGGGTTTTAACCTTGACGCTGCGAATCTGATAGAAATTAGTCTCGAGCTCAAAATGACTTGAAGATATCCTGAGTTATACCAAAAAAAAAGCTGGGAAAATCATATTTTCTATGAATTTTTCATTTTCAATGTGATGCCTCAATGAATCCTTCATCTTATGTGATACATACGTAAATATATTGTAATGATGGTTACTTTATTCCAGGAGCTTTTGTGCAACATATGAACTCAATTATTATTTTCAGTTCTTAATATAAGATATAATTGACTAATTTGGAGAGATTAAGAAAGTTGCTAAATTACTTAATTATAATATATGTTATATGATCTCTCTAAAATATTTATATATATCATTAGATTATATGTCAATTTATAAGTAAGGTAAATTAGTTTGAGAAAAATAACGAATATAAATATTTTAAAGTAATTTAATAACTTTTTTAATTTTTTAAAATTAGTCAGTTGAATTTCATATTAAGGACATGAGGTAGTATTATTAAAGTTAGCCAAGCCATTATTGTGGTCTAATTTTTTATTAATTTAATTTTTCACGAAATTGTATTTTTAAGTCGCATGACATATGTTTGAATGCTAATGTGACTCCTGGCGGTCTACGTGGATCAGTACTTTGTGTGTGTGATTCTGATTGTTTAGAAATATATTTCAATACTCATAATTAGATTTCATGATACGTTAAGTATTATTATTATTATTTTTTATGTAATCACAATTGTAGTATATATAATACTCTTCCGGTCCTTAATATAGGACTCAATTTTTGAGTTGATTTTGATCCTAAATATAAGACCCATTTCTCATATTTATCAATTTTCTCTAAATTACTCCTGTAGATACTCCCTCAATTATAATCAAGTAGAAGAGGGAGATGGGGTATTAAGAAAGATGATTATGGTGTTTTAGGAAAAATTTGTCACTTTTCTTAAAATTAACTAACTTACCTAACTTCTTTAATCTAATCAAATTAGTTAAATGGGTCTTATATTAAGGACCGGAAGAGTATGTTACTCCTCCGGTCCTTCATATAGGACCCAATTCTTGAGTTGGTTTTGGTCTTAAATATAAGACCCATTTATCATATTTATCAATTTTCTCTAAATTACCCCTATAGATATTCTCTTAACCATAATTAAGTAGAAGAGGGAGAGGGGTATTAAGAAAGATGATTATGGTATTTTAGGAAAAATGTGTCATTTTTCTTGTAATTAATTAACTTACCTAACTTTCTTAATCTAATCAAATTAGTTAAATAGACTTATATTAAGGACCGGAGAGTATTTTGTTTTGCTAAAGCTACTTTAAAAGTGTTTTGGACTGCTAATTTCAGTGATATTAGCACACGGGCAGTAAATGATAGTGTCGTGCAAGGGGAAAAAAAATTAAATTAAAAATTAAAATGACTACCAATACGGCTGCCCATTGACCGCCGGCCAACTTTTAACCTAAGGTCACAGGGAATAATTATTAAGCCTGAGATAGAGATTAATGAATTTAATTAAGGATAATTTAAAAATATTTTAACGACGGGGTCCAAACTTTTCAAATACCGTTATGTTTATCCTTTAACGAAGACCTCATGGCATTGACCAACTAACAACTTCATTTCCCGCTATAATATAATGGACATGGGGGCCACACACTCCTTTGAAACGTTTCGCAAATCTACACCCTTCATAATACTCTCTCTTTCTTGCTCGCAATCTGCTTTCTTCTTCTTCTGTTGCTGCTGCTGCTGCTGCTTTTGAATCGGATTAGTGGGCATGAGCAGATTGGACGACATGGGTTGCGTCTACAAGAATCCCAGTGAATCCATTGAAGCTCGTGTCAAAGACCTTCTTTCCCGAATGACTCTCAAGGAGAAGATTGGTCAGATGACCCAAATCGAGCGTCGTGTTGCAACCCCTTCCGTCATTAGAGACTTGTCTATTGGTATTATTTTCATTCATCATTTTCTCATTCAAAAGGTTTTGAAGATTGGGAGCATTGGTTTTCTGGTTCTGATATTTGCTTTCTTTTTCTTTGAAGGGAGTATCCTCAGTGCTGGAGGGAGTGGACCTTTTGAAAATGCGATGGCGTCGGACTGGGCTGATATGGTGGATGGATTTCAAAAATCAGCTCTCGAGTCCCGATTAGGCATACCCCTTATATATGGGACCGATTCTGTTCATGGCAATAATAATCTATACGGTGCCACTATATATCCTCATAATGTTGGCCTCGGAGCTACTAGGTTGGTGATTTCCCTTAAACTGGAATAAAATGATGACACTCCATTTATTGTCTTTTGCAAGTTCTGATGCTGTTTGGTGTTTGTTAATTGCACAAAAGGGGGTGGGCTGGGAGCATAATTGCTAACTTTACCAGAAGTCATGAGAATTTCGTTCTCATTTCTCACCGATTGCTGCCTGCAGAGATGCAGATTTAGCTCAAAGAATTGGAACTGCAACAGCACTTGAAGTTAGAGCAAGTGGAATTCACTATGCTTTTGCTCCTTGTGTTGCAGTAAGGAATCATAATTAATTTGTATCCTGTTCATTTTAGATAGTCATGCTATTAAACTACACAATGTGGATTTTAATGCTGTAGTAATGCCTGTAATAGCGGGTAACTTCAGATTATAATCCTCATATTGTTAAAACAATAGTGTATGAGTTATGACCTGTGGTTCCTCTCTGTTGCGCTTGTTTGTCTCTATCACTTACAGTAGCAGGTTTAATAACATGGTTAACTAAAATATACGTATGCTTGTTATCCTATTTATTTCACTATCCCCATTCAAACGTCTCTGTGTAAATAGTGGATATATTCGCGTCTCACTTGAATAAACTAATTGACAGGTCTGCAGAGATCCCAGGTGGGGAAGATGCTATGAGAGCTACAGCGAAAGCACTGATATCGTCAAAAAGATGACCTCTATAGTTTCAGGTTTGCAGGGCCAGCCTCCACAAGGACATCAACATGGTTATCCGTTTGTGGCAGGAAGGTAGAGAGAAACCATAATTCCTAGGGAATATGTTTTCTATAGAAACACTGATAGTATAAATATCTGTAACACCCAATTGCAATTTATATAACAGCATGACTCTGTTTATTTTCCTGCATTTTGCTTTTTTGTTTTTCTATTTGTAGTGTTTCCATATGATTTCTCTTAAACACTTGGCTAATTGATTATTTGGATCCAGGCTTAAGTTACTAAATTTTGGAAAACTCACCAAACTAGGGGTCATATATCAATTTTTATCAAATTTGTTTTCATTTATGTTATCCATATTTCAGGAACAAGGTCATTGCCAGTGCCAAGCACTTTGTTGGAGATGGAGGTACTGAGAAGGGCAAAAATGAAGGAAATACAGTACTACCATATGAGGAATTAGAAAAAATTCACATTGCTCCTTATTTGGACTGCATTTCACAGGGGGTTTCAACCATTATGGTTTCTTATTCTAGTTGGAACGGATACAGACTCCATTCTCACCGTTACCTTATTACTGAAATTTTGAAAGAAAAGCTGGGTTTTAAGGTAAGACAACCATGATAGGAATAAGTGCTGAAGTTGTTTCTTCTATGCTGTTCTGTCTCTCATCCAAAAAGGATAAGGCTCCTTTCAGTTTTATTACACTACCATAACTGTAGTTCTTTTGCTTTTTCATCTGTTTCAATGAACTTAAACTAATCATCTTTTTCAATTTATACCATTGGCTCTGCTATAGGGTTTTATAATTTCTGACTCAAAGGGACTCGAAAGGCTTTGGCCCGATTTCCCAAGCAGCGTCCCTTGTGGTTCAGGTTACCGAAACTGCATCTTGTTAGCTATTAATGCTGGAATTGACATGGTATAGATTTTCAATTCTAGAAACCTTTATCATGGTTTGCTTTTCTGAGTTTCTCCCCTTCTCTTCCCTCATCTATTCCAGAAAAATTGCAGGTGATGGTGCCTCATAGGTTCCAACTCTTTATTGAACAGCTGACTTCTCTAGTAGAATCAGGGGAAGTACCAAGAGCCAGAATTGATGATGCTGTTGAACGAATATTGAGAGTGAAATTTGCTGCTGGTCTTTTTGAATCCCCTTTGTCTGACAGATCTTTGCTAGATGTAGTTGGTTGCAGCGTAAGAATAATTCAGCATAATTTCAAATTCCTTTCACAAGTTTAACCAATTAAGCTGAATTTGTTTCCCTTGATCTTACTTGCTTATCATAATGTAGAGGGCGTGGGTTATCCCTACGATTGCACTTGTACATCTCCCTGCATTTTGAAACGGTTCTCAAGTTCTGTTTTGTCAAAGTTGGCTTGAGGTTTCAATCATGTAAATATCTTTTGCAATTTCCATGCTGTTCTATTCTTATATTCAATTTCCTTTATCAGTGATTTCCAACTTTCTTTTGTGGAAGTATTTCAATGTGCAAGAATGACTGATTCCATTTAAATCAATGCCTTTTGCATTTTCATGTAAGCTTTACTTTCATATTTTATCTGTCAACGTCAACCTAGCAGGTGGTACAAATCTTAGTGTGCATCTTTACCCTTTTAGAATTGATTGCTTTCCCTTTCCTATATAGTTAATTCGATCGATCTCCATTTGCGTCCTTCAAAATCCGTTTATAATCCACTATTTCTGCAGCATCATAGAGATCTTGCACGTGAAGCAGTTCAAAAGTCCCTGGTTCTGTTGAAAAATGGAAAGCATGAGGGCAAACCTTTCCTTCCTTTAAATAGAAAAGCCAAAAGGATTGTTGTAGCTGGAAGCCATGCAGATGATCTCGGCTATCAGTGTGGAGGCTGGACAAAAAATTGGCAAGGACTCAGTGGGCAGATTACAATTGGTATGCCTTTGTTTTACTTGCATGTCCAAGGCACTCTGTTCATGCCCATAAATCACAGATGAACCGTTTATTGATTTTGATTGTCTCATGATTACTGAAAATCATCACTACAAGGACCTCAAGATCTCAACTACACATGCATAATAATCCTATGCTTCTTAGGATTCCTAAAGCACTAGGTCGTAGCTTCCCTCTGTGTGTGTGTGGGGGGGGGGGGCGGGGGCGGGGGGGAAAGCTTTAGCAAAAACAATTCAAACAAATCCTCACTTGATCCATTACCCTAAACATCTCTACTTTATCTAGCACTCAAGTAATTATCAATCTGAGATGTCTCTCTTCTGATCTATAAATTGGAGAATTCGTCTAACAATTACGTCCGTTCCTGCCCAACTGTAATTTTTCCTTCTTTGTAACACACTCTCACTTGTGCGACATGGTTATTACATCTTCCCTTTGCACACTATTTTAGGGACAACACTCTTGGATGCCATTAAGGAAGCCGTAGGAGATGAAACAGAAATTGTTTTTGAGCAGAATCCATCAAAAGAGACCCTAGAGCGCGATGACATATCTTTTGCCATTGTGGCTGCTGGTGAAGCTCCCTATGCTGAGTCACGGGGTGACAATTCTGAGCTGGTGATCCCCGCTAATGGGATTGACACTATCAGCTCAGTTGCAGACAAATTCCCAACACTGGTTATTTTGATATCTGGAAGACCCTTAGTGTTAGAGCAATGGCTGTTAGAAAAGATTGATGCTCTTGTTGCTGCTTGGTTACCTGGTACTGAAGCTCAGGGAATCACAGACGTTATCTTTGGGGACTATGACTTCAAAGGACAACTTCCTATGACTTGGTTTAGAAGAGTTGAGGATCTTGATGAACCAGCTAATGGGGTTAAACCACATGAGCCCTTATTTCCTCTTGGTTTTGGGTTGAAATATACTGAGGGCTGAAATCAGGATTTGTTCAGTTCAAACCTTTTACATGTATATGCATTCATATACTGAAAGAGAATGATACAAAGAAATGATCCTATCTCATTACTTTCCATTGACTATGTCAAATTTACTAATATTATTGCAACATTCACAAGTTTGATTTGCTTTCAAGATCATGAACTACTTGAAGTTGAAATCATTGCTGTACTAAAAGGATGAGGTGTGAATTACATTAATTATACACTGTAAGTACCAAAAGTAAATTCAAGTGAACCAATTGATATGGAAATAAATTTAAGTGAACCAGTTGATATGGAAATGATCTTCCTGCTGATCTAAGTGAAATTTTGGTCAACATTGTTGAGAGCTTGAGAGAGAGAGATGCATCATAGAATCCTTAAAATTCTTAGAAAAAATTAATGTTTTAGTCTTTCAACTTTTAACTTAGTTGTGACTTAATCCTTCAATTATGACTTGGAACGACGTAGTCTTGAACTTTTAGCTCAGTTAAAACTCAGTCTTTAATTTTTTTTCTTTATTTAATAAATTAATGGTTCTCACACATGACTCATCCTACATGGCAAAAGGGGTTGCTGACACGAAGAAAAAAATGCTGATGTGGCTTCCAAGTAAGCTCACCATGGCTGGAATATGGTCCTGTATCTCCCACGGTCCTTAACGCCAGAGATAGACAAGAGTCTTGCACTCTCGCTTCTGGATTACTATGACAGAGGAGAGGACTGAGAGAAAGGAGAATTTATGAAGGAGAAAAAATGAGGGAGTATGGGAATTTGCGCAATATAAAGATGTCTCCCACTCTCCCATCTTCCATTTCACAAGTTCAAACACTATCCACCAGTAGTGAATTTTCCATTGCAGGTAGGTGGATTTCTTCAAATTCTATTTTACTTTCTACTCATTGATTTCCAATCCATTACTTGTTGACATTGCCCCAGGTCCCTTCACTCTAACGTCATCGTTTGCGTCTCCAAGCCCAGGAAAGTTGGCATCGCCTGCCACTGTTTCCCAATCAGAGCAACAGGCGACTTCCAAGTCGACGACGCCATTGTGGGGAGGTTCGTGGGAAGGAGAAGGAAAGGGAAAGGCGACACGGCGGCAGTTATTGGACCATATTCCAGCCATGGTGAGCTTACTGGGAAGCCACATCAGCAGTTTTTTCTTAAGCTCTGTTTGGTTGGGTTGGAGGGGAGGGAGGAGAGGGGATAAGTGTGTTTAGTTAGAAAAAATAGAGGGAGATGAAGGAAGAAATTTATCTTTTAGTGCTCCTCTCTCCTCCCCATGCTCCCCTCCAAATTTGAGATTTTTTGGAGGAGAGAGAAATATTATATCTAATATTAATCAAATTATCCATATTAACTTTTTAATATTCCAAATTTGTCTATCTTATTAAAAATCTTTTTTCACTTCTTTTTCTTTTTAGCCACTAATAATATTTGATAATTATAATATTATAATATATACATATAATATATATTAATATATACATATCATAACATGTGTGTATTATAATTATATATCATAGCGCGTGTATTATAATCTCAGATAACATGCACATATATTAATATATACATATCATAACGTGCGTGTTATAATTATATAATACATATATATCATATATCTTAATACATATATTTATAAAATTAATGAGATAGAATATTAAATTTTTTATTAAATTTTCTAATTTTTTTAGTTTTATCATTTTTTTTATCACATGTAAGTGAGATAATTGGTTTTTTTTGAAATTGACAAATTAAGAAATAATTAATTTTGATATAAATATTGTAATAAAAAAATCAATCTAAATACAGAGATAAGAGTATATTTATCAATTTATAATTACCTCCCCTCCTCTCTTCTTATGAACCAAACAAGAAATCTTCCATCTCTTTCCTTCCCCTCCAACCAAATAAAACTAGACCTCCCCTCCCCTCCCCTTAATTAACCTCCCATCCCCTCCCTTTTGTTGAACCAAATATAGCCTTAGTATTAGCAATCTCTTTTGCCATGTAGAATGAGTCATGTGTAAGAATGATTAATTTATTAAATAAGAAAAAAATTAAGGATTGAGTCATATCAAGTCATTTAAGGGATTGTATCATAATTAAATTAAAAGTTGGACAAACAATTAATTATTATTGAGTCATAGTTAAGTTAAAAGCTGAAGAACAAAAAGATTAATTTTTCCAAATATTTATTAACAATACTCTTCTAGTTCTTAATGTATGATTTCATTGTGGAGTTGATATTGCTCATAAATGTTTTTATATTTATCAATTTCTCAAATTATCTTTAGTGATAATCCCTTAATAATAATCAAGTATGAAAGATATAGAAATTTTTCATATTTATTAAGGAAGATGAATAGGGTGTTTTATGAAAAACATGTCATATTTATTATAATTAACTAACTCATATAATTTTTTTAATCTAATCTAATCAAATTGGTTAAGTATCTGTTTAATTGAGCATTTTAGGAGATTAAAAGCAGCCTATTCAACCCACAAGTATATTTAAAAATTTAGTGCGTGATTGAACTTTTGGCCCATCCTACTTATGCGCCAAAAGTTAAATTGTGAAGCAAGATTGGCTTAAGTAAGAAAAAGCTGCTTATTACTTATTTACCACGCTTAAAAGTGGTTGATGAGGATCATTAAAACATAATAATTGCTCACTCTTCTCCCTCATCCTCCTCTCGCCCGGTCTCAACTTCTCGCCTCTTCACGCTCGTTCTCTTCTTGGTCCTTCACTCCTTCTCAACCGAAGAAGTATGTGAATAATCTATGGCATAATGTCTATCTCTCCATGCTGCCATTTGTGTCGAATAGGATACTAGGCCTTTTGACACCTTGATCCAAATAATTCATTGATATATGGAGCCCTATATGCAAAAATTTTGTGAAAGTTTTTTCCAAGCAATGTCAATGTCCCTTTGGGGTCAGTGCCATAAAGCACTTTCAATAGTTTAACTTATGGAATGGCTCAAGCCATAAACAAGGACAAAATAAAAACAAAAACAAAAGAAAAAGAAAAGTGACGCCGTGATATCGATACTTCACTCGTTGCTTCTCTTACGAGGATTTGCATCTCATGTAAAAGTTTATATTATTTTATTTTACAGTACATCCGATCCTAACTAAATCTCATATTTAGGACTAGAGGTAATATCTCTTCTTCCCTATACCCTTAATTATTGCAATTTTTTAGTATTCGGCATGAGGTTTTGACCCAAAAAAAAATTATTGGGCCTAAATTATTGTAATTTATTTTCGCTAGGCAGATATATTTTTCTATCAGAAGCAATAGCTCTCCCAAAAGGATTTGAATTTCCATTCACCCATTATGAAAGGACAAGTCCTTTCTGTTAGAAATAATCTCTGTTGGTTGTTACAATTTATTTTGTTGTTATTATTCCTAAATAATTTTTAATAATCTAACATATATTTGTAAGTCAAAACCTATTAAAATATTGTTATTAAACTTAATTTAAAATTTATCAATTTTAATTTTTTTAATTCTCCCTCTGATAATTACCCATCCAATAATTTTTACTAACCTAACGTGTATCTGCAAGTCAATTTAGATATCAATGTACTTTATTTTTCAAGACATGAATATGAAAAGTAGTTGAGGGCTTAAACCGAAAAAAAAAAAAAAGTAAAAAGCTAGGAATTTGTTTAATTTGTAAATATAAGATCTAAATCTAAATCTACCTTATTTTAAAATTTTAAAATTATTTTACCAACAATCATATTGATTGCATATAGTCAAAGGGGTTTTCATCAAGAAAGTTTCCATTGCAAATAATTAAAAAAACATTTTAGAATAATCAATATCCATTTATTACAAATAATTAGCCTAAATAATTTATATCATTTCATGTAATCAATTCTCTGACTTCTATATTTAACATTAGATAAGATGTTATGAAATTAACCAATAAAGAAAGTAGATTAGAGAAGAGATGTAGACAAGAAAATAAGAGAATGATATTGTATTCCTTCACTTGCTTCACTTGCATTATAATACAATGGCATGCCCTTTTTATAGACATAGTCTTACATATAAGTTATACTATTACTTAAATGATAGATAGTGAACAATAAATCACATGAATGTGAAGTGGGGGTGAGTTACAAGATTAAAGGCATAGTGAAGAAGTAATGGAATAGTGAAATATTAATGTTTATTGCAAGTAGTAGGAGTTGATGAAGTTGAAGAGGAAGAGGAGATGGACATCCACATTTGATAATATTCATTACACTCCCCCTTAGATGTCTATTGACTATTATATAAGGATGTGCCTCATTAAAAAACTTCAACTAGAAAAAACCCTGTGGGACAAAAACCTAGCAAAAGAAAAAGAGTACACATTCATTCATACACTATTCAGTGCTGTCTCATTAAAAACCTTGCTAGGAAAACTCAGTGGGAAAAAACTATAGACAAGGAAAAAAGAGTACAGCGTGTATTAACCATCCCTCTTGATAATATCAATTGACACCCCTAAGTCTGTGACATCCGATATCATGAACAAGCTTTTAAAATATTGTAATAGGAAGTGACTTGGTGAGCAAATCTTTTAGATTTTTATTTGAATAGATTTGCTAGATATATATTTTACCATCTTTTGAATATTATGAGATAAATACTCCATTTGAAATTACCAGTATGTGGATTAGAAAAGAATCTAGAATTCTATTCCAGTATCTTTGGTGAAGAACTATATCTTAGCAAATGATATGTCAAGTCATGAGTGATTGATAAGATATAATATGGTACTTCTGGATCTATGATTTGGTACTTCTAAACCAGATAGTTCTTCATCACATTCTCAAAATCTAAAAACTTCTTTATTCACCTCCACAAATCTCACAACCATCAAAGTATATAATGGATGTGATTTATCCATATAAAAACACTTTAAAACCTTTCTTGTATCAATTATTTGATACACAAAAATCTTCATTTCTCAAATATTCAATTTGCAATCCGAGGCAAAACTTTGTTGTTTCTAAGTCCTTCATTTCA